TAAGGAGCTCAAGCAAACGTGCCAAAACTCACTGGCACTCTTTACAGAGCACGGTGTATGCGCCAATGAGTTCTTTAATAGCTGCTGAGTCCGATGCACAAGTGACAGTCCTGTCCACAGATAGGACACACCCACGCACTAGCTATGCTCTGAATCCAAGCAGCAGATTCTTTCCTCCTCTGATGCCAGTCATCACAAAGCTTGATCAAGTCTGCCTTGCAATACCTCGCTCCATCTACAAGCTGACTCCGCCAACCAGAGCAGCATTCTGCAGTCCTTTCCCAATCATCCACAGAGATTCCAAAAGATCTAAAAAGCAACAGAGTCCTGTGGCACCTGTAAGACTAACAGATGTATTGGAGCATAAGCTTTCATGGGTGAATACGAAGTGGGTATTAGTATGCTCTAATACATCTGTTAGTCTTACAGGTGCCACAGGACTCTGTTGCTTTTTACAGATCCAGACTAACACGGCTACCCCTCTGATACAAAAGATCTAAGTCATCTTTGCAAGCATCCCAAAGTCTGTGCAGTGGTCTGCCTCTTTCTAGACCCTTCATGAGCTTCAGAGTGTAGTACACTCTTCAGGTTCCTATAATCCAGCATTCACTTGACATGTCCAAGCCACCTGAGTCTTTTCTTACTAATCAACATTCCCATGAATGACATACCAGTACTATTTAACACTTCCACATTTGTTACCCCGTCTTGCCATCTTATTCAAAGAATTTTACGGAAGAACTGATATGAACGTTGTTTAGTCTTTTGGTATGTTTGGCTTAAGTCATCCATGTTTCTGAGCCATATACAAGAGTGGATAAAACATGTCTCATAAATACAGATTTTCACTTTAGTTGACAATTTGTTATTGTTCCAGGCTCTGTCTTGCAGCTGGGAACTTTGCTGCAAAAGACCAAAATTCCTAGCTGCTTTGCTGATTCTATGAGTGAGCTCAGCATCAAGATCTACATTGCTGGTAACAGTAAAGACAAGGTAGCAAAATTGGTCAGCAACATCCAGACGAATACCATCTAAGGTGATATCTGGAACTGGTTCTGAAGAGCTGTAATGCATGATAACAGTCTTCTTCAAGCTTATGGCTAGCCCAAAGATTTTGCATGAATCGGAGAACTTGGTTATGAGATGTTGTAGGGCATCAACACTGTGAGCCACAAGGGTTGCATCATCTGCAAATAACAAGTCTGTTATGACGATCTCCTAAATGCTTTTGGGTGAAAGAAAGAGTAGTTCCTCCAGGATATCCTATCCTGCTCCGGTCCTTCCCTTTACTTCTCTGCCTCAGCTGAACTTCCAACTCAGGAGCAGAGGTTAAAATAAGGGAGAGGAAGGACAGCTTCCCTGCCTCTGCTGAAAATATAGAGAGTGCCCCCCCTCCTCTTTGACTGATGCTATTAAAAGTAGAGGAAGGGCTCCCATTCCTGTTTCAATCCCATATTACCCCCCCTCCCCCCACTAGGAGAGAGTGGCCGTGCAATTCTGTGCTGCTAGCTTCTCACTGTTGTGGAGGCAGAAGAGCAAGGGGGGAAAGGTTCCAAATAATCTAATTACTAAAAAGTTCCATTGCATAGCAGATAAGGAAATTCTCCTGTCTGTAGGATTATCTCTTGCCCACCACCCTCAAATTCCCGCAGTGTCAAGGTCCCATATGGCTCACCCAACCTCTGGGTCCCATGCAGAGTGATCCCCACTAAACCCCTGTGGAGGCAATGAATTACCATTATTCCCCATTTTAAAGGTGAGGAACTAGAGCACAGCCAGATTAGGGTATGGGATTTTCAAGCACCTAAGTAACTAGGCCATGGTCACATTCTGGGTCTCAGTTCAGAGCCTTCACCACAGCACCATTCTTCCTCTTCCATTGGTCCCCTGCATCACTTGCTACATGCCGTAGAACTCTGGCAGTGAATGAGGCGGGGGTGCTCTCCATGCTGCCACTAATGACTTAAAAAAATCTTTCTGCACTTGATCTTTATTTTCTTCACACTGCGCCTAAATGAACAACTGCTAATGAGAATCTGACACCTGGCACTGAGCTGTTATCCCACCCTTATCTGTGATCAGGGCAACAAGGACATTACTGTCTTCCTCAAACAAAAGCTTGCCTTAGTGTGGCAGTCTCTCTCTCTAATGAGCTGCTGGAATTGCCTTGTCATATGGCCATTAGCAATATGCTCCAGTCAGTGTATATCAGGGGTGGGCAAACTACGGCCCGGGGGCCACATCTGGCCCTTCAGACATTATAATCCGGCCCTCGAGCTCCCGCCGGGGAGCGGTTCCTAGGGCTTGCGCGGCTCCTGGAAGCAACGACCTGTCCTCCCTCCGGCTCCTATGCATAGGGGCTCTGCACACTGCCCCAAGCGCTGCCCCCACAGCTCCCACTGGCCGGGAACCACAACCAATGGGAGCTGCAGGGGTTGCACCTGCAGACAGGGCAGCACGCAGAGCCGCCTGGCTGCACCTCTGCGTAGGAGCCGGAGGAAGGACATGCCGCTGCTTCCAGGACCTGCTTGAGGTAAGCGCCACCCAGAGCCTTGTTCCTGACCCCCTCCTGTGCCCCAACCCCATGCCCTAGCCCTGATCCCCCTCCTGCCCTCTGATCCCCTGGGTCCCAGCCCAGAGACCCTCCTGCACCCCCAACCACTCATCCCCAGCCCCACCCCAGAGCCTGCACCCCCAGCTGGAGCCTTCACCCTCACCGCCCCAGTCCGGAGCCCACATCCTGAACTCCTCGTTTCTGGCCCCACCCCGGAGCCCTCACCCCCTTCCGCACCTCAACACCCAATTTCATGAGCATTCATGGCCCGCCATACAATTTCCATACCCAGATGTGACCCTTGGGCCAAAAAGTTTGCCCACCCCTGGTGTATATTATACATACTTCAGAGAGCTCAGAAATCTTAGTTGTTTTCCCATTTTGAAGAGTTATAAATCTATGATTCCACATGGGTTAAAGAGAATTGTTTTAGCAGGTGGCATTCATGCGTAAAGGCTTAAAATTATTTTATGAAATGTAAAAGGTGTGAATAATCCTTTTCAATGAAATGAAATACTGGCACATCTTAGGAATTTAGAGGAGATGCCTCATTTATACAAGAAACCCATCTGCCTGATTGAGAGACTTCATAACCTCAGAGAGACTGGCTGGAGATTGCTATCTCAAATGGCCCTTCTTCCAAAACAAGGCAGGCAGCTATACTTTTCCATAAAGAAATGTGGAATACAAATTGTGAACACCTTCCGCAATGAAGAGTGTTGCGTTTGAATACTTGAAGTTAAGCTTAGAGCTAGTCTACACTAGAAGCGCTACAATGGTGCAGCTGCACCGATACAGCTGCGCCGCTGTAGCCCATCTGGGGAAAACGTTCTATGCTGACGGGAGAGAGTTCTCCCGTCGGCATACTAAATCCACCTCCGCGAGAGGCGGTAGCTATGTCAGCAGGAGAAGCTCTCCCGCCAACCACACCAGCACTTACGTCAGTGTAACTTATGCCGCTTGGGGGCGGGGAGGAGCTTATTCAAACTCAAAACAGACCCTGTGTGACATGCACAACCAAAGTAGTGACCAGAGTGATGTGCTCTCATCAGCCAATGTTGCTTGTGAGGCGGGATGCTGAGTTTTCAACCAGCTGGAGCTTGTTTTAAAGCTCGGTGCACTCACTCCCGGTAGTAACCTGTGTGGGAGGCCATAGAGGTGCAGGAGCTACTGTAACCATCTAATTGTCGGGTAGTAAGTGATGCAGCCTTCTTAACAGTCCCAGCTGGAAGCCAGAATTTTTGTCCGCTGTAGCTATTTGAATGTCAAAAACAATGAGGAAACCCGAAGAACTGCCAGGCTATAACCTAACCTAACTATCAAGGGCAGTAACCGGAAATATTATGGTGCTGGCTAACTCTTGAAAGCCATTTCCTTCATCTCACCTGCATAGTCTCTGTGCTGCTCAGGGAATCCAGTCTCCATTTCCTTTCAGCCTTTGGTCTTGGCGATAACCGATGATGGTTTTATAATGGGGACACCTGCCTGCGAAGGACTGAATTAAAACCACCATTTTATCTTACCTCGAGCACTGAACTATTGAATGGCAGTAAGCAAAATAGTAGCCACTCACTCCTGTTATGTGAAGGGGTATTAACTTTTGTAACTCCAATTCAGGTCAGGTAGAAATATACTTGAGTTTCTTACTACCAATCCTGTGTGTCACACCCTTGTTACAAGAGCTACAGGTCAATATTGAATTTGAATTTAAACCAATGATACAGAGATATAGGGCTGTGCATATCTATTACTAATTCCTCAGCTATGTAGTGCCTCTGACCAAATACACAGGCTGCATTAGTGTAGAAAATTAAGATGCTTCTGAAATCACAGGATAAACCCTTTATGAAGTGGATATTTAATTTTGCAATAAAAATCATTGCTAGTATCAGATACCCTGCCCCAAAACAGTATAATGTCACATTTCTTCATGGGTTTCTGTCTGTCTGAATTTATTTTATAGCAGCAATAGTGTTTTTTGTCAGACGTACATGACTGGGAAACTGTTTAATCACAGTGCTCCAAGATACTGATGTAAATTACTCATTATCTAACAGTAATCTAAAGCCTTAAACCAGTATGCCTGTCAGAAACACATACATTAGCTGAAGGTGGCTAGACTTTACAATTAATCTGTCTGCAGATTGATACTATTGTAACTGAATGATTCTCTGAGAGCTGATGCTGAGCTCTTTGGAAAATTCTAGCATTACATTTTATATACTAGCTTTGGGATGTACATGTAAGGATTTGTATGCACCTTGCAGAATGTACAAAGACTGCCTGAGCAATGTTGTCCTGGTATTCTGCTGTTTGCACACATGCTGTCTGTTTGATGATCTTCATCAATTAAAAGTTGGAGGTAGGGGTCAGAGTAGCCAAGGCTGGGTTTTATTGTTACTGTTGTTACTAATGGTGTTATCTGATTGTATTCCTTTCTCCCCAGAACACCCTGGGTGCAGATGGCCATTCTGCTCCCCAAACCAGCTTCACATTAAACCCCAAGGACAGAAGACAATATCCTGACCACCAGGCAGCACACAGGCCATTCCCCAAACAGCGATTCAGGCAGGAAAATGGACACACATCATTACAAAGAGATGGACCCAGATCCTTCCTCCTGGATCTCCCAAACTTTCCTGACCTATCAAAAGCAGACATCAATGGGCAAAACCCCAACATTCAGGTACACACTTTCATTAAGACTGTGATATTTTACACACTATGGAAAATGACTTAACCCAACCACATCAGCTTTAAACTTTGCTTCAGTCCCTTAGTCACTGCCAGCTGTGCTTTCTTATACCCTTCTTCTGTGTGGTATCCCAACCCATAGTGCTGTTATGTGGAGAGAGAGTCTGAATACTTTTTGCCTACCTGGATGTACCGATCCCCGTTCCCCCTGAGCCCCTTTATGAATGCCACTGACTGCACAGAGCTAGAGATAGAATCATAGTTTTCTTGCAGATGTCTTTCTTTCATCCTCTTGTCATATAGATATTTTCCATTCTTTGGTTTTGGGCAGCGTTTTACCTCTTTTATTTTGTGGCCAACCACTGGCAATGTGACAATCAGGAAACTAGTATCTTGGAAATTATGGTCCAATTCTCATTTGTTACATTAGTGTAAATCTCAACTGATTCCACAGATTACAGTGGAATGACTGTAGATTAGATTCTCACCTAGAGATCAAAATCTGGCCCTCTGTTCAGAAAATAAAGAATTAAATGTTAATCTTAGCAGCAGCTCCCTTGAGTAGAAAGTCCCTCTCTCCACAAAAATCTGATATGTTTTTAGTCAAAATCTTCTTCTTGGTTTTGGAATAACTTACTACAAATCACTTGAATTAAAGACAGAGGGTTAGAAAGAAAAAAATAGCAATTTAATTTAGTGTCTCAAAGAAAAATCTGCATTAATAAGAAGTCATGTTTAACCAAAATAATTTAGTGAAATATTGATCTGCCTAAAACATGTGTTTACAAAAACATAATGCACTATTATAACTAGTATCAGAGGGGTAGCCGTGTTAGTCTGAATCTGTAA